CAGGCATTTACAGGTGATGGCAACTTAATTATTTACAAAATATTGTTTCATTGAGACATTTTCTCTTATCCTCATAATGACCATATTTTCATCCACTAGATGTTTATGACTGTCCCAGCCAAAATTCATTTTTGGTGTGCAAAGAGCCTTTGAGGAATGCCTGAAATGACTGAGGAAGCTGTACTTCTAGCTGTACTACTAGCTGTACTGACTAGAGGAAGCTCCTCTAGTGTCACCTGGTGCAGATACCAGATTGCAGCCACAAACTCATACTCTTCTTTCTCCAGAGATGGCTGAACCAAGTCATATTTTCTCTTTATACAGCCTGTGAAGTCTGTAAGCATTGCAGTGGCCATCTGGTCCTGATACAGCTGAATGCCAGTTCCCACCTTCCCACTCACACCTGAGGCCAATGCTGACACACCAAACCATGGGCTGGTGCAGCTGGAGGGGCAATGTTTTGTTACAGTCCTTGGAGCTGCAGAGTTTCCCTGTCCCCTTTGGTAGCTCCAACACTGAAATTTGGTGCAGGGCTGGTCCCCCTTTGCTGGTGCCACAACACAGGTTCCTCACCACCCTCCTGTCCCAGCTCAAATAACCCCTGTCCCATTCCCCCATTCTCCTGTCACTGGCCAGAAAAGGTTTTCAAGCTGTCAAATTCATCTGCAGCACCAGGGACATACAGCTATTACTACTTAAAATATTTTTCATCAAGGCAAAATATACAGCAATATATTCAGATCAACAAATGTTCTGTGGATAGTAATTCCTACTTTGGAATTCACTTCAGTGTCTTTTCCCTTTTTACTGCTATTTGTCACAAATGCTGGTGCATCCTGCTGCATCAAAATCTCCTGCCTCAAGGACTAGCACTTAAATTAGGCAGTCTGGGTCAATTCTGCAGAGCCCAGTTGCTGTAGTCAAGTAATTGAAAATTCAGGGTGTGGGATGAGGTGTCCATGGGCTGTATTCCTCCCCTCTGCTTTGTTATGCTGTTTGCAAAACAGCTGAGGGAAGTGTTCCTGTCCTGTCCCAGGTTTGCACAGGGCTCTCTGTAAAATCTGGAGCAATTCCCTATGGAGCCCATTTCAGAAGTCCTGCCTCTGAGAGCTTTTGCTGTTGCACAAGAGCAGCACAATCATCCTTTCTTCAGGTTAACACATTTTCCCTTGAAAATTATCCACTTCTGGCAAAAGAATGACATGGGGGGTTGGTTTGTGTGCAAACACAAGGGTATGGATGTGTCTGGGAACTTGTGGGCTAGTGCTGGCTAAGTGCATGTGTAGCCTGGCAGCCTCAGCAGCTCATCCTGCCGTGTCCCAGCAGCCACCTCCACTGCCACATGTGCCAGTATAGAGCCAGAAGCTTGAAATTTGGCATAGATCAAGAAGCCTGCATGAACAAAGCATTATTACCCAGGACAATCCATATATCCCAAGTTCTTTGAGCACCACAGGTATGAGAGGCAGGACTTCAGCTGAGCATGCCATTAACAGCAAGCAGCGGGGAACAGAAATCTGTGAAGGGAATAAAATGTGACATTTCAGTGATGGGGATGGGAGGTGGGTGCTGCACAAGGGAGGGTGTCAGGAGAAGAATGGCAGGAACAGCTCTGCCTGTGTCCCACCAGTGGTTTTCTGTAGGTTTCTACTGCACATGAAATGGGAGGAAAAAATTAGGTTATGGACAAGGATGGGCTTCCAAGAATTTCTTCAAAATAAAAAAGGAAGATAAAACTGGTGAAGAGCTAAGTGACAGCAAAGCCAGAGAGTCTTCAAAACTCAAAGGCTTTCAAGTTAAAGTTTTTAACTAGCCCAAAAAGTACATGGAAACAGCACAGAGGGTGAGAATCCAGAAACATGTGCAGTGGTGCATTACTTGGAGAGGCCGGGGCTGCCGTGGACCAGACACAGCCTGTCCCACCACAGGGCACAGCTGAGGCCCTCACGAGCCCCTCACGAGGCCAAGATGGCAGCGCCTCGGGTAGAACGAAAGAGAAAAGGGTAAAAAGCGCTGTGCAGGTAGTGGTGAGTGAGGGGGAAAGTAAGAGAAACAGCTCCAAGGTCACCGAGGAAGGAGGGGAGGAGGTGCTGCAGGCACTGGAGCAGGGATTCCCCTGCAGCCACCAGAAAATCCCTTAGGTTTTGCAGGTTTGCCCCGGATGACCCTGGCGCATGGAAAGGCCCCACAGCAGGGCAGGGAGAAGTGGGAGCAGGAGGGAGCAGCAGAGAGGGGCTCGTATGGACTGGGCATCCCCCCAGTGCTGCCAAGGATGGTGGGGAGAGGTGGAGGAACCAGGAATGAAGAACTGGGGAAGGGGAAAGAAAGGTGATGTTTTAATTGTTTAATTTGCTTCCCGCTATCTAAATCTATTTTAAATGGCAACAAATTGAATTATTTTTACCGAGTCTGTTTTGCCCATGACGCTAATTGGGTAAGTGATCTCCCTGTCTTTATCTCAATCCATGAATTTTTGTAGAAAGGCTTATTTTCTCCTCCTGCCCTGCTGAGGAGGGGAAAAGAGAGAGTGGGCATCTGGCAGCCAGACAAGGCCAAGCAAACACAGCTTCCGAGTAAAAATCTCTACAAAAAACAATTAAGTTGGATAGACAAAGGAGAAAGCTTCAGGACAAGACTTCTGAGTTACTTCACAAGAAAAACAGTATGAAAGGAGAGCATTAAGCCCCACAAAAAGAAAGAAAACGGCTGGCTAAGAATTGTATTAGAAAAGAAGGTATCTGAGCATACAATCTCCCAGTCATGGCTGTAATCCATCTGCAACAGGAGGAAAGTTCTCTCTGGCTTAGGGCAAGAGGACAGGAGCTGAGCATGCCTGCTATTATCTTGTATTTTTAATCTATTTTCATCCAATTTTTCACATACAGCACTATCAAATAGAACTTCTAAGTAATTTGTCACTTCAATATTTTGAAATATGAAGGCTTCTAGGACAAAAGACCATTTACCATGAATCTTTCTCATGGAATTTAAACAACTGTACACAATAAGAAAATAGTTCTCCAATAGTGATAGATATTTATTTCTATATTTATGTATTTTTTTGTGTACCAAAGTAACAGTGACCTTGTTCTCTTTTATTGTGTGTGGAGCACACACAGTTTCATGGGTTTTGAGACAAAGAAAGCCTGTGAGATCATTTTGCCTGGCTCTCTACAAACACAGTTGTCATCTCACCCGGTGATGAGCACAGGGGAGGGTGCATCCCAGCTGGGCTGGTGTGGGTGGCATGGGGAGACCTGCACTTAAAACCTGCTTAAAACCCTTCATCCAGCAAGGTGTGGCATAGGTCAAAGATGTTATCAGATTTGTAAGCACCTGAAAACCAATTTCTATTACTGGTGTGTCAGCAATATCAGGTTTCAATGTGTTTCCATAAGTGGTCCATTAACCTGGGGATGTGCCATAAACTGGGCACTTCAGTAGCACATGGGAATTCTGACAAGCTGGTGTTAGCCCCAGCGCTGCCAGGAGCAGTCTAGTGCACCACTTCATTCACCTCTCACAGACATTCATTACCTCCACTTCCAGTTCAGCTCATGTCAAAGGATTCATTTGGCATCCTTTGGGAAAGGCTGCAGTGCAGGTGCTGCTATGAACAGCTCCAGCTTTCAAGAATGATGCTAACATACCTTTGGCTGTCTGGCATTCAAACTCAGCTGGCATGCTTGATGAGTAATTGGAAAACTCCTTGCTGCAGTGACATGAAATTCATTCAAAGTTTAACCTTCATATTACAACCTCTGAAATAAGCTAAAATTTTGTAGAATAAATATTACGTGAAAAGCCAGTCTTAGGGTCACAGTCACCTTTGGTTTCTTTTAGGTACAGGCAACCTCTACATCTCTCCCTGTCCACCAGGCACAGCCACAGCCCTCAGTCCACCTCCCCAGTACCCACCACACATCCCATGGAGAGGGCTGGAGCACTCCTGTAAACTTTAGGCAGAACCTCAACACCCCTGAAATGCCCTTTTTCCCTTTTTTGTTTTTCATCAGACAAGTCAGCATCACACTTCCACTTGCAGAGCTCAGAGTTTCCATCACAGTCAGAGACATGGTGGCAATAAGGAACAGCATGCACAGCACTGACACATGATGACAGGAAGCTTGCATAGATCAGCAGAAATTAGATACAAATCACAGTCAAAATCTAAGCAAATCAAAAGCAAAAGGAACTTCAAAGAAGGACCCAAGACTACTACTTCAGAATCAGAATAATCAAAATCTTTATGAGTCCATTATGACTAGGGGAAGTATGAGGCTTGCAGCATTTCATTGCTCCTTATCAACCTGCTTCTCTAATCAGAACTTTACTGTTGTGGCATAGGGAGTTATGGAAAAAACTACAGGTACTTGAAGTGTTACTACCCTGATTAAAGAAATCCATATATTTCCCCTGGAGAAAAAGGCTTAGGGAGAGGTAGCTGTAACAGGAATGTTATTGAGACAGATTGCCTTTTAGCCCAAGACTTTGCCAGTGGAGCTCCAGACACTTGAAATTTTAATATAAATCAAAAGTGATGTAGGAGTTCTAGATTCATATTTATGTACTTGCATAATATTAATGCTGTCGGAGGTAAATATAAACGAAACACAAGATACTTTGCTCATGTCTCTGCTGGATGCCAATTTTGATATTGCTATAAGGTAAGAATATATATGAAAAGTAGTTTATATTAGAAAGGCTAAGACAGGAGACCTCCTCAGGGGACAAAACAAGCTATTCAAGAACAGTTTCTAAAATACATTTCCTTCTCTTTGCATTAAATGATATTTTCTCTTTTATTATGAATCAGAACATCACCCAACATCACCCCTGAATGCATTTTGTAAAGACTTCCACTTGCCAAATCCCAATCCCAGTTGCATTTTGCAAAACCACGTTCCTGCTACTTCATTAGCTGGCTTTGCTTGTAGTGATATTTACTTTGGCAAGCCAGGAAAACACACAGGGCAGAAGGGGAGTGCGGATGCTCCTACCGTACCAGTGGGTCTTTTTTCTCCATGCCTGAAGCTGTGCTTGGCACTGGGGTGGCCACGGCAGATGCGCTGGGCCGGAGCGTCCTGGAGCTCGGGTCTGCCCCGGCCCCAGAGCAGCGAGGCTGAAGTCAGGGTGCCAGCTGCCCTCCAGGACAATGGCTCCATTGGGACATGGCTGGGGGACAAAGGCACTGCTTTCAGGGGTGATTTTATATGCATACATGTGACCTTTGCCTGAAATGGCTCTTTGGAAAGTGTCCCTGTCCTGAAGCTCTGCTTTCAAAAGCAGAACTCTCAGGCCTTGCTTAATCTGTCCTTTTTTCCCTCCCCCTTTTTTATTTTGTGCCACAGATGCCTCAGGAGAGGTCATGTGCAGATAACAAAGTGGTGCTGATCTTTTTCTCATCATTTAATAGAGCTATTCAGTAATGGATAAGATTACCTTTTTTCACTTTGTGAAGTCCTTCACCAAGATCTGCTGTCTGGAAGTGTTTTTTCTGCTTTTAGGAAGTTAACTACAAAACCCCAGTTTCCAATCCCATGGCTTGAGCCAGCCTCCACTGGCTGGCGCTTCCAGACACTTTCAAGCTCTGGCCACCTTTGCTACAGTGAATGTAATTTTAAATTTATGCATCCAGATCACAACAACAGGGTTTTTAATGTCTTTGAGTGACTTGTTTATTACAAATAAATTTATTATAAATTAGTTTATTTCAGCTGTGATTTTTATGTATTTTGAAGGCTTCTTACTTGAATGGGTATAAAATAGTGGCTGTCAATACACAGCATGAATGAAATCTAAATATCATGCTAGCTGGGCTGGAGGTGGAGGGGTGAAGACATAATTTATCACCTTTACCTTGGGATATGGCAGTGAATGCTGCAGGTGAAGTGATGTGCCCTCAGAGCGATTATTTTTCAGGTCATAGGAAAAGTTAATAGCAGTATAACTCTCAGGTTAACCAAATTTTCCTTTATAAGACCTTGATTTTTGCTGTTTATTGCTCTGACAAACTTATATTTGCACTGACATTTTTGTGCTGGAAAGATTTGGGAATTTTAAATCTATTTTTAGTTTGCAGCAAAATACACTGAACATTTTTGAGATTAAAACAAAGAATGTGTTCTTTTCTGTACAAATGTTAACCAAAATTATCTGTCCTTTCCATGAACAGATCTCAGACATACAGGCCCTGGAGCAACAGACGAGATTTTGGGGACCAGGGAAGAATGGCCTTTGTCAAATGAATACATTCATTCATTGCTATCAAATTCCATACAAATTTTGTCAAGTTATAAATCTTTAAGAGATCCCTGTGTATGCTGAGCACTGTGTGCAACTTGCTCACACTTAATGGCTGAGCTCTCTGGAGATTGTCTTCTCTGGGTGTCTTTGAGTCACACTTCAGGTTTATCTCAAAGGAAAGGAGTTTTAAAATGTGCCCACAGTCCCAGCAGACCCAGGAGTGTGGTCATGTCTGTCTGTCTGTCTGTCATACACCACTCCCTCAGCACAGTTGCACACACAGCCTGCATCTCTCCCATAAAAAGTGTAGTGTTGAGCATGCTGGGAAAGCAAATTTATTGTGCTGAAATAAATCCCAGCCCACCCCCCAAAAAACCCCAAACCCCACTTTGAAATCTCCCCAACCATCCTCCCTGCTCCCTACAGCCCTTTCCTTCAACATCAGTCTTTCAAGAGAGGGAAAATGAAGAGAGAACCAAAGCTTTGAGGAGCTGTTGCATAGGTAGAAGTCCTGTATCATAAATCAAACAGATCTGCTGTTGGAAAGATAGAGCAGAGCACCTAATAATACACAAAGAACACAGAAACAGACAGATTTCAAGTGTTTGAAGAATATTAAAATTTCAAAGAATTTTAGATACAAATCCAGTTAGAGTACTGCAAGTAATGAATGCATGCATATAAAAATATACATATATTCTGCAGTAGCTAAACATAAAACATCTGAATAAAGGGAGCAAAAAGGTACCAAAGAAGAAACAAACTAGCAAATGCACAGATCTCCACCTCTTAGCAGGCTGTTCCCAACACTGTGCTCCCTCATACCTGTTTGAATTCCATGCAAAAAAAGATGCATCTCACTTGCCTTAGAAGCTAATGTGCAGCCTGCCATGTTATTGACAATCTTTTAGCCCCATCTCACTTAAATATAATTTTCCTTTTTTTTTCTTTGATTTTAGCTTATCATTTTAAATTATTTGTTACACCATGAAAAAGAATCTATACTACATAAGAGTATGAGTAAGAGGGGTTTAAACTTATTTTTACAAGTTTTCTGCTGAATAAAGATATATCTACATTGTAAACTAAATGATTTCTCCACATTTTCAGAGTTAATATATACTTTTATTTGGAGACAATCACAAGCTTCCCTACTTAGTCTCACTTCAGCATGGTTTGCAGGAACTGGCAAGATTTAGCATTTCCCAATATATTCATTGCACTTGAAAAATATTTTGGTCAATCTTTACATCAGGTTAATACCACAGCATTCTCGGTCAAACAGCTACTCACTTTTGAGTCATACTCAATTAAAATAAATCTTGGGCAACTCTCACTCTGTATAAACACATTCAGGCTATTTAGCAAAACAGATGCTGCTGTCCCTAGGTGTCATGGGGAGCAGTGGGTATTGCTTTAGGTAATGTTTCCTCAGAATTAACTACCACAGTTCAAGCAGGGGCAGTGACCTGGGGCAGAGGGGCACACAGTGATGGAAGCCGATGCCTGTCCTGAAGGGCTTTGGGAAATGGATTTCTACCCAAACCCACCTAATTTTAAAATGTGTATATGTAAAGAGTTATTTAAGAAGATCCCTAAAAGGTGATCTGTGCAGTGCCACCACCACTCTTTTACAGGCTGTGGCCATCACTGCATTTTCACAGAATCATAGAATGGTTTAGCTCAGAAGGGACTTTAACACTCGTCTAGTGAGAAATTCCTTCCTAATATCCAATCTGCACCTGCCCTCTTTCCATTTGGAGCCATTTCTCCTTGCTCTATCACTACATGCCCTTGTGAAAATACCAAGCAGCCTCTCCCTGCAGCATACCCTCAGTGAGCTGTGATCAGAGATGCTGGATCTGCCTTCTGGACTTGGCTTTAGGCAGCAGCACAGCACAAGTTGCTCAGATCAGGGCAGGGCTGCACTTGCACAGATATAGCTGCACGTAAGAAATTTCAGACACCAAGGTCCTATTTCGGTCATACAAAACATCCAAACTAATGAAAACAAAAGTTTAACTTTCCAGGTACACTGGGTTTGGAAATCAGTAGTCAGGAATTTGATTTTACAACAAATGCTCTGAGGAGACTACTCACTGTACGGGGCATAGGTTTGTGCTTTCACATGTAGCTAAGGTTAATGAAAATGATAAAAAATATTATTCTTTCTCAATATTCAGAACACATAGGAGAAAATATGGTACAAGCTCAGCTTTAAAGCAGCTGTTCTCCTCATCAGAATCCGAAATATGAATATCTCTTGATCTCATACAATCAGAGGGAATAGCTATATAATTAAATCAGGCCACACAAGGAGCAGCTATATATGGATTTCTGGAGCTAGCCTTAAGATCCTATTTTTAAAAGCTGTGTTAACAGATATCCCAGACTGCTAGAAATAATGACCTTTTAAACATAACTCCTTTTATTCCCTGCACTACTGCACCCATTTTAAATAGTATTGATGCAAATAAATTCATCAGAAAATTATACTTGTAGCTTGATATGCCATGGGTATTACAACACTAAAATAAAACACCATAAAAACCAGTGCTTAAAAAAATTGCGCTGCAGATAGTCATGAATAAAAGAAGATTGTGACTTACAAGAAATATACAACCCCTCCTCCTGTTAATCTGTTCCATATTTGATCACTGAGTTTGCATTGCAGTTGAAAAATATCCTGGGGGACTACTTAGTGTACTGCCTAATCCAGCCATCCACCCCCTGCAAAGTACAACCTCACGCAGTTTTGTTTCATTAGGAGTTTCTCTGCAGCTCAAATGACCCAGCTCAGTTTCACCTCCAGAAAACAGGCCTGAGCATGAAGAAATAGCTTCTGTGGCCAGAACTGTGCAGAAATATGTAATTCTGTACCAGCATAATTGTGCGAGCTGAGCTAATGGAAAAAACATACTTTGTCCAGTTACCTTCTAGGCATGGCTGGAGTTACTCTGTCTGCAATCTGAATGGATTATGTGGTATCTTGTATCTCTGACTTTGCCTTGGCATATTTTCTTCTTCTTAACCCTTCATTGACAGTATCACATCTATATAACAATTTTTTTCAAACTCGAAATGTTTATCATTTTTGTTAAAGAGCATTTTTCCTGCCATTAAATGTTTCTTTATTTCCATCAGACTTTGCTCACCAGTGGGGATGCTCCAGTATCCAGTATCCTTCATCCTCAGTTAAAGCAAAAATGTACCTTCCCTCTGAGAACTCATTGGGCCCAGAGCTTCTAAAAGTTATCTCTCAAAATATTAATCTTCTTTTCCTGGGCTCTGTTAACCACAGTACACCAGGCTACAAGCAGTTATAAAATATCACAGCTTCACAAACCTGCACCAGCAGGATCCACCTCTGTGAGAGTGTCTGCCATGCAGAGTTTGGGGTGGAAAAGAAATAGCCATAAACTGTGGCCAGGGGTAAATGTGTGTGGGGACACAAAGTTTGGATATGTGAAGAATCATAAAGATCATAAACTGAGGCTTAGTTCTCCCTGACCAGCATGAAAAAATCTCTGCATGGGCTAGCTGAGATAGCTCACAGCTTCATCACTTTGGCCATCATGTGGGCCACTCCAAGCCCTGGATAAGGCCAGCAAAGAGCCACAGGAAAGAACAGAGCATTATCAGCATCAGCCAAGATCCTGCTCCATGGCTTGAGAGCTGACACCATGGCTTCTTATCTACCTGCCTTATCACCAGGATATTGCTCTCTACACCTTCAATCCTTCTCTTCTACTGGTTTTCTTGTTCCAAAGCCAATCCCTTATACCCTATCCCAAACAACATCTCTTTAATACAATTATAGCTCCACCTAGTTCCTAGTCTTGTACAGTATGTACGTGAAGTCAAATTCTACATCCTGAACAAGATGTAAAAATTTCTTAAACAATAAATCACAAATTCTAACTAGCGACCAAGTTCATAAAATCCCTAAAGAAGGGAACACAATAAATGTCAAGGCTGCTCTTACCTGCTACAGAAAATCCAGTGTTGAAACCTGACTAAAACAGCCTGACAAGAGATGCTGCACTAGGAATGAGGGTTATGAAGGTTAAATAAAAATAATAATATGATTACACACTCCCAGATGCTAACACCAATCCATGGGTGACAGTAGCCAACAAACATAGCCACAAATACAGACAACATATACTAGAGAACAG